AGTTTTATTTAACCTGTGTCTCAACTCATGACAATATCTTAAATTCAAGTCTTGGTTATCTATAAACATTCAAACTTTTAGCAAATCAGTAACCTGGCGATTAATTTTCTCTTAATATTTTAACTTAACGTTTAATATTTATTTTTTTCCAAATTTTAATTAAGCACAATTCCTTTATCACAATTCCTCATATAATCTAATATTTAAAATACAAACCTTATATGTAAGTTCTACCATATATCTTAACAAACTAATAAGACAATATAACATTCTTATTTCTATATTTATATTTCTAGATTTTATAAAACCAATTTTTTTATCTCAAATCATTATAATATCTTATGTTCAAAATACATATTCTATTCATTTAAATATATTCTATTTTAGATCTCATGTATAGATCAAAACCCCAATCCCTTTCAGTCTTATTCTAGCTTTTTTCTTCTGCCAAATCATCTTTTGTATCTTCACTTTTAAATCATCAAAAAGATCTCCTTGTATTGTTGTGACTATTGTTTGATATTGATAAGGGCGTTCAGTTGCTGTTTTCTTTTTTTTTTTATTGAAAATTTTTAACATTTTACAAAATAAATCCCCTCCCCAAACCCGCCCACCCACCCATACCCTCCCCCAACCCCAAACCTCCCTAACCCTCCCCTGAACCTCCCAGAGTTGATTACAGGCTTATCCAAAATATTTCAAAAGAAAAAAAAGAAAAAAAACTTAAAACACATATAAAACTTAAAACACCTATAAATCCTAAACAATCCTAAATACCTTAAATTAAATGAATTATTTCTAAAAAATAATAATAGACACATTATAATATACTCTAGAAATCTTCTAATCTTACTTATAATATCATCCATCCTTCTACATAAATTTCTTCCAAGACCAATTTTAAACACTACTTTCTTTAAACAATATAAAGTCTAGCATAAATCATAAACAAATCTAAATACATTTAGTTAAACAAGTTATAGTCCCTCCAAAACACAAATTTAAACCATCAGAACTTAAAACATTAAAACAAACAAATTATAATCAATCAAAAGCACAAATCTGAACATTACTTAAAACTTTAAACGTTAAAAACCCCACCCAAACACTAAACACATTGTAATATACTCCAATCCTTCTAATATCATAAATATTATTATCATTTTCATAAACTCCCCCAAAACACAAATTTATACATTACTTAAAACTTAAAGAAGGAAAAAAGGAAACAAGACACCTTTATACTCATTTAAATCTTATCAGATTCCATCCAAAGTAGACAGTTTATAACAAATTCCACCCACAAAAAACACTATAACAAATTCCATCCACCATAAACACAATAGATATTCAAATCTTCATCAATAACAAGTTACAACCACAAAAAACCCAGTCCTTATCAATCTCAATTGTCCATTTTCATTCTCCATTCATTATCATACTGATATTATTATCGTCAGCCTCGATTGTCCATTTTCGTTATAAAGCTTAAAACAAATGCTTTAGGATCTGTCCTCAAAAGCTGCTCCAAATTTTCTGAGTCTCCCAATGACTCAGAAGCCAGTACATGTGGGGATTCCTTAAGCTCCTTATTCTGTTGGTCTTTTTCTTTACAATTATATGTTGCACAGATTTTCCTCTGCCCCTTCTTCTCAACTTGTTGACGCCCCTCAGGCTGAAATTTCCCCTTTTTCATCTCAAGTGACCCTTCCATCCTTGAAGATTGCTCCAAAGGATTTATGGGTCTTGCTTCTCCCACAGAATCAGCAATCACTAGGTGTGAAATTTCATTACTCTTCTTCAGTTGCTGCTTTTCTTTACAGTTTTGTGCTACACAGGTTGTCTCCTGCTCGTCAATCTGAACATGTTGAGATCTCTTAAACAGGGGTTGCCCAATTTTAGAGTCTTCAAACTGTAATTCTACATCCATTTCTTCCAAAGTCTTGAACTTAATAGATGGAGATGAACATACCCCCAATACTGAAGTATAAAAATCTTTTGCTTGAGAAACAGTATTAAGTCTATAACATATTCCCAGGTAATTCACCACCATTCCAATCGGAACATCCCATCTAAACGAAATTCGTCTCATTTTAAGTTCATTTGCTAAAAAGGCAAACTCCTTTCTTCTTCTTAAAATTTTAGATGGGATCTCCTTTAAAATTATAACATCTTGTGAAGCAATTTGAAATCTCTTCTTATAAAAAGCTTGTATAATTTCATTGCGTAAAGATTTCTTCCCAAAATAAATTACCACATCTCTTGGCAAATTCTTTTGTACTGCCACCGCAGAATTAACTCTAAATAGTTTTTCAATTTCACTAAGTATTCCTTCTTTTTCTTTATTCAAAATTACGGCAAAGTCCTTTGCAACCATCTCTTTCAGATCTTCTTGCAAGGACTCTTCCAAGCCCCTAATTCTTAAGGCGTATTCCATTTGACCATATTGAAGCATAAGAATCTCATTTTCCATTTCTTTTTCCATACTTTCAATTTTCCCCTCCATTAATTCCACTTTTTCAGCTACTTCTTCCACATGGGAATTCAACTTTTCAAGAACAGAAGCAACTCCTTTTAGAGCCAAAACTATGTCTTGCCTCAAAATCTTATTATTTTCTTCCAAAATCTTTTTCATTTCTGCCCTAATTTGAATTGTAAAATTTTCCATCATTTGTTGCATATCCTTCACAGTTGTTGGCTGAGCCACAGAAGATTTAGGAACTGTGAAATTCACTGGACGCTTTGGAGCCATCTTAAAAAAAAACTTTACTCCTTCTTAAAAATTACAAAAATTCCTTCAAAAGAAAATCATAACTCCCTCAAAGAAAAATCTTTAAAATAATAAGAAAAATAAAAGAATAAAAAAAAGGGAGTTAGAAAAGAAGAAAAAAAAATAAAAAAAATTAAGATATACAAAATGAAAAAAAAAAGAAAAAGGGGAAGGAAAAAACCAGAATGCCTGCCCTTTAAAAATACAAGAGACAAAACCACAAATCAAACCAAAACAAAAAGTTAAAGTATACACTCCAATCATTAAAATAGGAAAAAAAAGGGGGGGGGGAAACCAAAATGCCTGCCTTTTAAAAATAATGCCTGCCCTTTACAAGAAGCAAAACAAAAAATACAAAAGACAAAGCAACAAATCAAACCAAAACAATAATAATACTTCTAAAATCCATCATTAAAAAGAAAAAAAAGGAGAAAGTAAAAAAAAAGCCGATCGCCACTCTAGCTTCCCAAAAAAACGCTAGAAGATCTCCCGATCGCCATTTGCTTTCTCTTTCAACAGAAAAGCAAATAGTAGAAAAAAAGGACTATAAACAAAACAATAAACCTTTGGATTTAAAATAAAATCAAAGAAGACGAAAAATAAATCAATAAAAGAAATTAGAATATACACTCCAATCGTTAAAGTGAAAAAAAGAAGGGGGGGGGGAAAACCAAAATGCCTGCCTTTTAAAAATACAAAAAGCAAAAACAAAAAATCAGACCAGAACAATAATGTTTAGAAAATTAAACAACAAAAATTCCTTAAAAAGAAGAAAGAAAAAAGAGAGAAGGTAAAAAAGCCGATCGCCATTCTAACTTTCCGAAAAAAAAACGCTAGAAAGTCTGCCGATCGCCATTTTACTTTCCCTTTCAGCAAAAAGCAAAAAATAAAAAGAAAGACTATAACAAAAGAATAAACCTTTAAATTTAAAATACCTATAAAGTCAAGGAAAGCAAAAAAATAAATCCTCTAAACAACTCTGTCCGCTTCTTAAAAAAAACTCACTAGATCATTTTAAACGCGGAGGTGGCTGCGAGGGCTTGTTTTGTCCCAAGGACAAAAGCAGCTGGGAAGCGGAGACAGTCTGAACTCCGTGGGAGCACTCTATCACCCCCAAAAAAGAAAAATTGGGGGTACATAAGAGGCTCTACCACTATTCAGACTACCCTCTGCCCCCCCCCTTTGCCTGGGAGGGGGATTTTGAACCGCTGAACAGCTGATGTCTGCTGTTCATAGCGGTTCATTACACTTACCCAGGAGGACGGCTAGAAAGTAGCCGCCATCGCCCAACGCAGATCCACCGGAAGTCCAGTTGCTGTTTTCTTAAGAGGGCTAGCTGATTTAGCAGGTCGTCTCTTTATTTTTCCAGTTCGATGCAGTTGTCCCGAAGTATTTATTTCTCTTTCATCTGTTTTTCGTTTTTATCTTCAAATTCTTTCTGGTTTATAAGATAAGTCCTTTCCTTGTTCTATTATCAATTTCCTTTTTGTGTTTTCCACTATTTGTATTTGTTGACTATCTAAATCTTTTGTCATAGTATTTGGTTGTTTCCCTTTCTCTATAGAATTCTGTGTAGATGATTCGTTAGTTGAAGTCATAGTAAGAGCTTGCATACGGAGAGTTTGGATAATTGCTTTTAACATATAAAGAATTTGTTCCTGTACTTGCTCTGTGGGAGAAATCCATTCCTGTTCTTCCATTGTAGTGTATTAAACTAAACAAAAAACTTACAATCAGAAAGTCCACCAAGTAAAGAGCTGAACTGAGTTTCTTGCAAATGGTGCTTCAAGGTTGCTTTATATCTTATCTATTTTCAAGGCTTTAAACAAGTCTCTCTTAAAGAATAGCAGGTTACAGTTTCAAATTTAGCCAGCAAATGTCATCTCAGAATTAGTTAGATCTTTTCAGTTTTCTTTTCCCCCTCTATTTTAAGGGGGAGAAAAAGAACCCAAATCTTCAATAATAGTTAGAGTAAAAATCAGAGAAGGAAAAAAAAATAGAGAGTAGAAAGTTACAAGTCTTATAATCCACCAGTTTTAGAAAATAGAATTCCAATTAGGATCCCAGTATTTTTCCAACGTTTTAAACTCCCGAGTGATTGATAGCTGCTGTTTCTGGAGGGAGGGCTAAAATCCCCGTTCCCTCACCACAGGGGGAAAGTACTTTAGCAGCATATGCAGGCAATTAAGTAATTAGGATGTAAGAGAGGCAGATCCTTTCCACACTGCTTTGAAGTTGCCAGATGTTAATGTGACTTCGGCTGTTAGCAGCCTAGGGACGAGCCATATTTCTATGGCGGGTCCTTTTGTTCGCCGGTTTGAAGAGACTGCCAGCTCTAACAGGAGAGTTGCTGCTCTCCTGCGATCCAGCAAAAGCCCCTCCTTGCTAGTCGCCTCTTCGGGGCGATTTCCGGCCCTTTTCAGGGACCCCCAGCAATGTGAAACAGAACGGGGGAGAGAGAGCAAATCTCCCAACTGTCCATGGCTGCTATGTGACGAAACTGGAAGCCTGTAACTACAGAAACATCTAATATCTCCTAGTTCTCATATTATCTAATATCTACTATCTAATATATTCTAATTCTAACACTAATATCTAATACCTAATATTGCTTAGTTCTAATACTATCTAATATCTATTATCTAATATATCCTAATTCTAATACTAATATCCTCTATGTAATATATCCTAGTTCTAATACTAATATCTACTATCAAATATCGCTTACTTGTAATACTATCTAATATCTGTTATCTAATATATCCTAGTTCTAATACTATCCACTATCTACTATGTAATCTGTCCTAGTTCTAATACTCTCTGATGTCTATTATCTAATATCTATCCGCTTGATAGGAAGAACATAATGCAAGCCGTCATTTGCTAAATATACTATTTGGACCAAACAGTTTTTTCAAAAGAAGCCTTTTCTTTTCTGGCAGTATCTTCGGTGTGGTTTCTTCACCGGGAGTTGAAGTCTTGTCCTTTGGTCTTTTGTTTGGAAATTTAGCAAATGAGGGCTCATAATTGGTGACAGGATCTTCCAAAAAGTGGGTTAATTCACCCTGTTGCTGGTTTCTTGGTCTTCCACTGCATGGCATCCTTGGTTTGACTAAGGGACCAGTTGAGGGATATCCCTGATGCAAATTTTCAGTGGCTTCTGTAAATACGTAGTGTTTTTTAAACGTAAATGGTCTATGCCTTGTTATTGCTGTTGTTACTTTGTCACAAACAGCTTCTTTTGCCTCCGTATCTTCTTTGTTTTCCTGTTTTTCCATTGCAACATCTTCCAAATTGTTTACTTTGGACATAACATGATTTATAGGAAAAAATGATGGTTCAGCCTTTACTTTATTAAACTCTTCTTTGAATAAGTCCAACCCTTCCCTTTCTCTCCTGCTCTTCTGTCTTTTTCTATTTTCATATTGGATGTTTTCTTCTATCTTTGAGCCAATTTCTTCACATTGTAATCCTGCAAAAAATATTATTTTTTAGGAATATGCATTATCTCTTAGACAAACAACAGATACAAAAGCACATTATTCTATCCACTCTTACAAATTATTTAAACTGGCACCTTCAGTTTAAATAGTCCAGGAAACATGCCAAATTCTGTATTTCTTTTGAAGAATAGACATTATTCACAGCAACACAGATCACTTGTAAAATAAAATAAAGTATTAAACCACTCTGTTTGAATCCTTAAGTAAATGGTATGTCTTGTGATCTTTTTAAATAGTCAGTTATGCTTTTTACCCATGAATGTCTCATTTGAAATGTTGTGCACAGGTAATTTTTCAGGGAGATGAACTCTTGTTTCATGTTCAATGTTGGCTTTCAATTCCTAAAAGATCACAGAAAAAAACATATAAGACCATATTATCTTTTATGTGTGTAAGTGATAAATTAAATCTTCATGAATAGCCTCCCTTATACATCAACTGCAGATTTATCTATAGACATCATCCTTTGTTTCATTTTACTCCATCTAATAAGGTATCTATCTAAACCCTCCCAATGTTTTGTATTAACATAGATTTAAATTATAATCCAAGTTAGGAAACCATAAATAAATAAGTGATTTTTTAAAATTATTTGTTAGATCTCACGTTTTCTTCAAGACTTACATATTCCCTCCAATATTTCTTTTCAATAGAAACTCCAGATTATTTAATTGATATTCACTGAAAAACATTGTCTAAGGTATTGTGAGGGAAGGTGGACTTGAATCTACATCTCCTTTGTTCTATTCAGCATTTTAATTAATACCAGAGAACCGATGACCCATTGGGTCATTTTTTCAGAGATATCACCTTACCACATTCCCCAATGCCTTCAACAATAGCAGAGTTTCTAATGTACTGTTGTTAAAAATTCAGGGAGATATTCAGAGATGTATTTGCCTTGAAAATGGGCATGGTCAAAGCAACGCACTTGACCAAAGAAAATATTTTGTGATATTTTGTACTATATCCTAAAATGTCTTATGTTAATTTTATGTCATAAAATGCTTTATAAAATGTTCCCAGTTTCAATTCCACAGAAGGCATGGGTTCTGGATTTTAGACTGTAAGTAAGCCCATTTCAGGTTCAAAAATAATTTCCCGCTATACAGAGATAAATTTATAAAGAAAGGAAAAAAGCAACCATTGCTAGCACAATAAGCCCTATACAGATCGAAGACACGCCAGAAAGAGGACTGCAGGAATCATTTATTTATTTATTTATTTATTTATTTATTTATTTATTTATTTATTTATTTATTTATTTATTTATGTAACATATTTATAAAACTCCCAGTCTCATGCATATGACTGGGTAATACATGAAATTCAGTCAAAGTCATTATAAGCCATTAAAGAAAATGTAAAAACTACAAATATAATCAAAGGCTTTTTAGAATTCATTTACAATCCTACATATTATATAGCAATTCTTGTTCCCTATTTCTGTAGGATCATCAAGCCTGCTGACCAACCATATTTTAAGGGCTTTCCAAAAGATGATAGAGTTAAAACTGTCAGTTTCCCACCTCCTCAAAAAGATGGCAGCTAAGCCAAACCCCCCCATGAACTTCTACACCGGGCATGCAAGTAGATTGGAAATAGCTTTATTTGGAGAATCTTTCAACTTTTTTATGGTTGGCCTTGTATTAGCATGTTGGCTGTCTTGGCATGTTGGCACGTCTTGGCCATTATTTCTTCAGCAAACCATAATAAAACCATGGATCAGCATAAAATATTATCAAAATTCATACATTTTCTCATGTATTAACTAGATCTTAGTAACACATTTTCTTAACTATCCCAAGGATTTCCTACTAAATCAAGAAATTTTAAAGCTGCATCTTTTAGCTTCTTTTTCAGCAACAAAGTTGTTTATAACATAGTTATCAATTGTCTGCAAAAGAACCTCTCCAAAAATCTTACTATAAGATGCATGTTACAAGAGGGAAATTATCAGCAGAAACAAAACTTACAAAGGATCAGAAGTTAAGAATGATAAAAGGCTTGTTCAGCTGTTCCATACCTCGTGGAAGGTCAGCGGACTTCCTACAGGCTCACCCTTCCCAAGAGTCCTGGGTTTTAGGCTGATATTTGCCTGGATAGCTTTGCTGACTTTAACAACTATGAAAAGCCAATAAACAAACAAACAAACAAACATGTCATATGAATGAGTGACATTAGTGATAGGAAAGTAATATTTTACCAACATGTTTTAAGCAATTTAATTCTTATGCTGTTATATCGCTTTTATTGCATTTTAGTAGTTACTAATGCAAATAGCCAGTCTCAGCTGCTCAGGGAAAGCAAGCGGAAACCTACAGGTGGTTGTTGCACAAGTTGTTGCTCCAGTTATGGTCCCTCACTCACACCTTCACATCCCTGGAAAATGGCCACACTCAAACTAATTTCAACTTAACACAAAAGGCTCTTTAAAATACACACAGATGCACACACATATACTAAAATGCTGTAACTGAGGACTTTTGAGTTTAGTTGGATTTCTTAGTAAATATCCATAAAACTCTTTGCCCTTATTTCTCACATCTAGAGAGAATTATGAGAACGATCCTGTTTAATCAGTATTGGTGACTATTAAATAATGAGATCACAAAATGCAGTATTGCCATATTAAAAAAGAAAATAGAGCCAGGATTGGAAATATTTTTGATGAGTCAAAAGAATTATCATATTTTTATTTCACAAGAAAGTATGAAAGAAACTCTGTGCTACCTTTTGGAGAAAAACAGGAATTTGCTTTCTCTGACTGACTTTTACCCATCCGGTGTGCATAAATATTTGTTATGCTTAGTTCTCGTTCTCTTTCCTAAAGAAATGCATTATTAAATTTATGTTGATAATATAGTTTATTGTATAAATGTCAGTTCTTCACAGATCATACATTTTACTGCCTAACTCCCGCAAATATCTCACACTGATCTGTATTTTAAATATTTGCTTCTGTATAATTTGGCCAAATAATTCCTTTTGTTAATATTCTGAAGGATAAGTATCCTTTTTTTCTATAACTGTAAAGTTTTTGACCAGGTTTTTCTATTTTTATAATTCATAAACCATTAATTTAATTTGACCTTAAAGATCCTTCCAAAATATCTTGATACAAAATAGTTATGACATTAACAAAGTATATAGTATTAAATATGTCTTATAATTACAATTTTAAAATAAACTGTTTCTCAATTTTCTATCAACACAGGCCATGATTACCATCTTTAAAAAGCATATTATTTTCATGTTGGGATACACTTTTCAAGTAGTATTTTTTCCTACAAATGGTAAAGTGCAAATGTCCTAACATAAATTAATACATTTCTGCAATCTATACTTTAGATAGCTACAGGCTGAAGGAAAGTCCCAGAGAAAGAAATAGACTTACCTCAAATGAGCATTTTGTGAATAGCACCTTGGATGTTTTCTGTAGTAAGAGAGTTTTAATTTAAGCTTTTAAATACCTTAAGTTTCATCTTCAGCGACTCGATTTCTAGTTGTAAATTTGCAGTGCTTGACTGAGCTTCAGTTGTCATTTTCTTCGCAACGGCTAACTGATGATTAAAGGAAGTAGTATTCAACGACATCTGCTTTTCTAGATCCTGAGCAGATTAGAAATAAACCATCAATATGATTAGTTAATATTTACAATCATACAATACTGAATTGGAAATTAGAGGAAGCAACTGAAATTTTAGCAAATGTTTTCAAAAAGATGAAAATCCTCCATCTCAGTTATAATACTCACATTTTTTGAAATGGGAATGGGTCCACCTTGTGAAAGGAAAATATGGAAAATAATCTGTGTAATCAAAAATAAAGTCATATGATATTTGCAATCTGTTAATCAGATTAAGGAGAAAAGAAATAGATAGAGATCCAGTTACAAGTTACAATATATCCTTTTAATTTCTATTTCTTAGTGGAAGAAATACCAATCCCCAATTCTTAAATCAAGATCAGTACAGTCGAGAAATATGAATAAAAAAACATTAGATGTTATTCATTATAATAGCAAAGCAAGAGAGTATTGTTTATTTAATATCCCAATATGACAAGTTATACTGTACTTTTCAGATGATAAACACAATGCTGAAATAAAGAGGTGTGGAGGAGGAGGAGGAATGAGTAAAATTTTGTTCATTTTAATTCTAATCAAGCCTTAATGTGCTTTATTTTTTCCCTTGGTAAGATGCTAAATAAGGTAGGTTTAGCCATTATATAGCTTTCAATGTGCTGGCTAGGCTCATGTCATCAGATATGGAGTATTTCAGCTGACTAGTTAAAGCAAGAGTCATTCTTACCAAAATCTCAGTTTTCTATAAAACTGAGCCTAATATGCAAAAATGAAAGGAAGTGTGAAAAAGTATTCTACCAATGACATTTGAAATTATTATCACTTCCAGCAAATAAGAAACTCCCAAAGAATTGAAGTGGGAAACCAAATGTAGCACATCTATGTCTCTAATTGCTGGATAACAATTTAAGAATCTGAATATGAATAGATTTCCTTGTAAAATAGAAGAAGCTGTTCTTGTTTCTAAATTTTGTATGTGCAAAATTGATGTTCTTCCTTGAGCAGGTTTTCTGTTAATTAAGATGACCAACTTTTTTACAATGAAAAGGAGGACACAAACAAATTGAAGAAAAAAATATCGTAAATAAAAGAAATGTTTTATTCATTGCAACAATAATACAGAATACACTATAATATGATAAATGCATAATAAAAACATTTGTAACAATAACATTTTATATTGTAATTATGCTTACATGCCACGCCCCTGCCTGCAGCTGCCCCACTAGCACTGCTGTCCCGCTGTGTAGAGCGGGCCCCATGGTTCCCAAAGCACCAGCTGCGCCGGCTCCAGCCCCAGGGGGCAGCCCACCGTTGACACACCCCACCTGTAGCCGCCCCGCCAGCACCACCGCCCACCCTGCGCAACCCCGTGTAGAGCAGGCCTCACAGCTCCCACAGCATGGGGGACAGCCGGCCACTGCCGCCCGTCACAGCCCCACCTGCAGCAGCCCCACCACCCCTGCCTCTTGCGCCCGCAGCCATTATTGCCCTAGCAGGGCTGAAAATCGCCACTCCCATCTCCTCGAGGTATCTTCGGGACTAACTAGGAGATGGTGTATTTGAGTAGCAGGGAGGGGTGCAAAGTTCCTGCCAATTAGCTTCACTGCAGACAACTTACAAGTGCAAAGTTTGCTGACCGGGTGTTTTGGCGTGCTCAGCAGCAATTCCTATTGGCTTTCGAAAGCCAATAGGGGGAGTAGCACAGCTCATGCAAAAGTTGAAAAAAAACCATCAAAAAAGGTGTTGGAACGCCGTTCTGAGCATTCTGTGAGAAATAAAGCTCTGTAGATTAGTCTTCAAATATCGAAAAGGAGGACATGTAGGAGGACACTTTTTGAGGAAGGACAGAACTCACAAAAGGAGGACTGTCCTCCCTAAAGGAGGACTGTTGGTCACCTTATGTTAATTTCAATATCAAAGGAATCTTGGAGAGTTGAGGATGGTGCCTGTAGGAAACGGTCCCTACTGCATGCTGAAGCAAGTCAGCTTAAAGCATTTCTTTATAGGGCTCTTCCAGAGCCCAGCTACGTTGTTCTAAGCAATGTAAGTTGCACGTTACCTGGATTCTCTTATCACTGGCTTCCAATTTTGGGGTATATGATGTTAATTTACGCATTAGTTCTCCTGTCTCTCCAAGTTTCTTCTCTTCAGAAAGTTTCTGCAATGCCCGCAAGGCATTCGTAGTTTTTAAGAGTTCTGCCTCAACCTCTCTCAGCTTCTTGGAAGCCCTACGCTCTTCTTCCTGAGATGTCCTGAGAAGCGATCTCAGAGTCAGCACTTCATTAGACTGAGTGGCCAAAAGATCAGGCAGGTTAATCTCTGCATTTTCATATTTACTGATTGCTTTTAAATGTTGAGACTGAAGACGCTTTAAGATTTTATTTTCCATAGTAAATGTCTCTAATTTATTCCGCACAACAGCAACTTCATTTTTCAGTTCTTTAATGTTATGGTCTCTTGCTGACAATAGACGGCAAGCCATGTTATGGTGAGTTGTAAATGTGGTCTGCTGCTGAGCTTTCTTTTTAGGCAATGTTTTACCTCCTACGTTAAAGAAATATCAAGATGGTATATAAGAATTGAGCAGAGTAAGAATCACATAATTTTTCCTAAGCTTCAGAGCCAAATCCTCAAACAGATATTTACCGCATGGATTCACTTATTTTTATTGAGTCAATCTCTGATGCAACTATTTGTTGATTGATCTATTGTGAAAAATTATACCTGAACTCTCATAATATTAACTTTCATAACTGCTATACTCACATACTATGCTAAAACAGTATTTAGACAACTTTACGTTGCATGGACTTCAATTCCTAGAACTCCTTAGCCCAGTGGTTCTCAACCTTTTTAATGCCGTGACCCCCAACCGGTCATAAGTCAAGGACTACTCAACTGGTCGTGAGTCGAGGACTACTCAACTGGTGCAGCACCGTTTGCAGAATGGGACTTTTGGCGAGCTCAGCAGGGCAGAGACAGCCTGGACAATTCCTATTGGCTTTTGAAAGCCAATAGAATTAGACTCTATTCTAATATATTCTAATATATTCAATGATGCAATCTTCGATCTCCGGGAAGAGTATACTCCAGTTATTTATTGTTAAAACAACATTTAAAACAATAAAAACAGTTATATACAAGAATTAAAACAACTTAGCTTTCGCTGGTCCTCTGCCAGCATCCTTAGAGTGGGGCTTAGGGGGTGGGAAGTTCTTTTTATCCCCTTGCTGATCCAATTGCCTACTCATTGCCCTCGTAACAGGGCCACTCTTCCTGATTGCCTGTGACTGCCTTGCCTGTTCCGCCCTCTCTTTTTTGCACTCTAACTTTGTATTTTCCTGCTTTGTCATCCTTGTGCTGTCTCCCCCTCCCTGTGCTGTTATCATTAACACACTCCCCAATCCCTCCCCCTTATCCAATGCAAGGTGCCTCCTCCGGTTCGGCACTACACGAATCCTGTTGGGCTCTGCCTGCTGTTTTTGCATATTATTGCCGATTCCTATTTCAACTCCCTCCTCCAACCCCCCTCCTCTCCCAGCCTGCCGATTCATGCACCCTTTGTTATCCCTTCCTGTCATCCTTCCCCCCCCTTCCTTCAATCCTCCCACCTGTTGATTAACATATTGCTCCTGCCTTTCATCGACCATTCTTATTGATGTTCTCTTCCTCAATATCTTTTCCTTCCTGATCCTAAATGTTGTTTTCACAATAAATAACTGGAGTATACTCTTCCCGGAGATCGAAGATTGCATCATTGAACAATATGCCCGGGATTCGTATTTTTATAACCATTAAGGATATATATATATATATATATATATATATATATATATATATATATATATATATATATATATATTGATACACACACACACACACACACAGATTCACACCATATCTAAATGCTGACAAAATACTGAAAATAATGGATTCAAAATAACGTAAGAGTGACCACTCAAATTTGCAAACTCCTTTTCTTTTTCTGCTCCCTGTCCCTTAGTATAATTATTGAAATCATGTGACACTGACATCTGTATGACCATGAAGTGTTCCCGTCACCAATAACTGGTGAATTGAACCCATCAACACAACCCCCATTACTTAGAGGGAAGACTTACTGACCGAGAGTGTTCAAAGCATTATATTAATATATTTATCAACCACATACAGTTTAAATATTTTTAACAATATTCATGTGACTTCCAAAAATATAGTATACTTTCTGCAGTATAGAGGCTAGCTCACAAAAATGTAGTTATTGCACAACTGCTTCCTTTTCAGGAAAGGCCTAGCTGCCATTAGTTCGGTTATAATCTGCCAACCACAATGAATACAGGTGTGTTCTGTGTGACCCATGGCCTTCTTACCTTTTGCATGGAGATGGTTTCCCTTTTTCTTCTCTGGTAAGTTCTGTTCTGTAGTTTCTGGCTGCTGGAACAATGAAATAATGAAGCTGCCACCCTCTTTGCTTGTGGAGGTTTCAGAGGAATCTGAGGGAAAATCGTGGTAATAGAAGTTTAGAGAAGTTCCACAGTTGTTCTCTTCTGAACAAATGCTGTTGCTGCTGCCATGACAGCCGTTCTTGAAGCATTATCACTAAAGTCATTGGAACAGTGAAGTTGAGCACTTCCAGACTGGCTGGAACTTTTGCTACAGTTACTGCCTTTAGTGATTTTGATCCTCTTACTAAGCCTATCTGGGGAATCGCTTAATTCCCCAGATAGGCTTTTTCTACATTCTCCACATGCCTTCTCCTCTTGGATGGTATAATGAAGGGATGTATCAGGAGAAGCCATTGTTCCACCAATGGCAGGGAAGACTGTCAATTATATTTTAAATTTCCCAAAGGAAATGGCCCTGTAGTCAGACAAGGAAACAATGTATGATGTCAACATTTACATAAGGCTTCATCTAATACAGGGGTGTCAAACTCGCAATATCATGTGACGTGTCATGATGTATCGTGTTTTTTTTTCCATTGCCGGCAATGCGGTGGGCACCGTTTCAGCATGACGCATCCAGTCCATAGGCCGGCAGTTTGGCACCCCTGATCTAATATGTTTAAAAGTTGTTTTCTCTGATTCTGTACCAAAAAAAGATCAGCATGATTTGTATAATATTATTATATTATTCACTTCTTAAAGAACTGATGTATTTATTAATTAATATGCTATTTTCTTAGCATTTTCATTCAAAGAATGCAATGACACCAGAGCCCTGAATTCTTTCACAGAGCAAAAAAGACTAAAATAATAGTATTACATTTCATAGAAAAACTGTGAATAACTGATTAATGGAGTTGGAAGGGACCTTAGAGGTCTTCTAGTCCAATCCCTTGCTCAAGCTTTCACGCAGCTACTAACGGGATACATTAGGCAGAGAAAATATCTTTCTGATAAATCAAGGTCAAAAAAGTAGCAAGATATTCCATGCTCATTCAGAAATCCTCCAACATTCAAGATTCTCCTTATTTCTACGTGAAAAACACGTACATTTTAAAATGTGTTATGGAAAAATGAAAATAGGTGCACTATGCCTTTTGCTTATCCCTACCTACTTGAAACCTCTTATTTCAGATGGGTTTGAGTTCTTTTGATCTGGGAGCAAAAGCAGCCTTTGCATATTGCTATTCTAAATAAATAGACAAACAAGAGAAGCACTCCAAAAATGAGTAGGGCTTATTTCTAAGAGGAATTTTACTTTGAAGGATAGTTCCTTAAGACGTACAAGGCTTATAACACTTATTTTGTCCCCAGACCCCGACTACAAAAATGAAAAATAAAGACTCTGATTTTCTTACTTCATTCACTTGGGAGGAGACGTTGTTGAAGAAGTGGAAAAATGCTTCTGGGAAGCTACCTATAGCTCAAGATTATTTGCAGAGATTAGTTTCCCTATCTTGTTATCCACTTACCTTGGAATAAGCCCATCAATTTTTAGAAGAATTTAAGGAGAGAAAAGCTGTGTGTTACTTATGTATCATACATACAACTGACTTAAGGAAAAGAGAGAGGCAGAAAAGAGAGATAGTATTGAAAAATGACCTTGGAAAATAAAAGTAGGAACAAAAGTGGGGATAAATATAGCTGTTTTAAAAATAAAAAAATAGTCTGAGGTTTTTTTGGAGGGAGGGAATGAAAAAGAAGAAAAAATTAGTCCCATTGCTGAAATAAATTCAATTTCAAATAAGAAAATATGATCAAGGAAATTATTAGAAAGACGAATGACAAAGTAATTGGAAAGAAGCTTCTGAGTCCAGTATATATTTAAATATATTAAAAGAAAATTAAAAAGTAAAGAAGTAAAAAAGAAGTTTCAATTCTTGTAAAAGAAATAAAAAAGGAGTGAACAAACAAATGAAAGGAGAAAAGAAAAAAACTAATTAAGGCAGAGATTGTGAATGCTCAGTTATCATGGATGAGGAATTAACTATAAAAAAGGTACATAAAATTAAAATAATATGGAACAATATGGAAAAAGATCTGAGTCTCTGGGCTAAGTGCCAAAATTTTCACTGTATGTTATTTAAAAATGCAGATAACACACACAAACAGACAAAATAGAAAGGAGAAAAGAAATGCATGAAAAATAGTTTCTAAATATTCCTTTGTTGTACAATATTTATTAACATTAACATTTTGGGGTATTTCTGACTTCAGTTCTTTAGTCATTTAATTAAATACATGTGACATAGGAAAATGTGTTATTAGAATTGCACGGTTTCAGCAAGCCACACAATTATGTCCACGGATAATGCTTCAGTGGTACAAATGCCTACTTTGCTGACTGGAAGCTGGACATGACAGCACAATTCAACTTGGAAGGGAAAAGTAGCTGCTCCATTTTTCATGTCCCTAGGAGGAGCTCTTCTACCAGGCCTTTATTTTCCATGTGTTTTCGCTTCCCTTTAACTGTTGCTGTCTTTGCTTACCCACAACCCAAAACAAGCACTCCTCGATTGCCCAGAGAACAGAAATCGAAGTACCTGCTAATCACCCAGGTTTAAACTTCCTCCCTACGATGCCCAGGCACAGGATGCCCAGGCACAGGCTTCTACCCGTGGTCATTACACAGGTTCTTGGGCTTCATTGGCAAAGAAGTTGATGTTTAGTTCTTTGCTACTATGGCAACTAAAGAATCTCTTCTCTGAGCATCATGGGATTTGTAAGGCAAAGTTGAATGGAAGGAAAAGGTATGTTTTTCTACTGGGCATAATACTTCTCAATCCTGGGCTATGAAAGAGGACCAGTTCCTTTTTCCTGATTTAAACTCACAATTTTTAGAGCATTTTAGAAAGATTATATTTTTCATGGTAAATATCTATCCTATCAAGCAAGTAAAAAAAAAGTATATAAAGATATGCATGCCAACTGTAGTGTAGGTTCCACCAAGTACAATGAAATTTTCTTGTGGAAAAATAAAGCCTTAAAAAAATAAAGGACTTTTACGAAATTCCGAGGGTGAAAGAGAGATTTTTATTTTTGCGCAAAAGGTTCAGAAGTGATTTAACAATCAACAAATTTCTGAACAAGGGGGAGGGTCTAAACTAAAGCTTTATAGGTTTCTTTTTCTCAGGAACAAAGGAGGCATAGATGGAATCTTACATTGTATATGGAATCTACTTTGTGTAACATTCAGATAGTTTCTCACACGTTAGGTCCATTTCTCATGGGAATACAATGAAGGCAGTTTTTATTTTTATACAATGTTTCTAAATATGCATTAGGTCATTCACGTATTGTTAATACAGCTTTTGGCTAACACAGCTTTCTTTCAGAGATTATGCAGACACATGATTTTTGCTTTTAGTGATTTTTCATTATTATTATTGTTGAGTCCTTGGCGGGAAGCAGACACGAGAAGCAGTTGAAGTTCTCAGTTTCCTTTATTCAGCGTTCAGCTTACAAGTAGATGGCTTCTGCAGCTCCCAAAACCTCCCAGCTTCTTATATAGACACTTCCCGGGTAAATGCGATACTTTTCCCGCGCCAGCACCCGCGCATGCGCACGGCGCTGGCGACAGCCTGTCTGGTCCCGGGCAGCTTTGCACCTGCCCGGGACTGCCTGCAAACGCCCGAGCCGTTTGCAAGGCTCGGGACATAACACCCCTTTCCCCCGGGCTAAAACTACTACCAACATATAAACATTTATTTTATGCATGTTTGCTTCCCAGTGCTCCCATCGTTACTGGCTTTTGCCTTGCCAGCAATGTTATGTAATCCTCTAAGTATTTAGGAGACTTCTTTGCTCTCTGTGACCTTCTCAGCTCTGGGTTACTAGCATGAGTTCCCTGACTGGAGGGAGATGTGAGCCTGTTCTCCTTATTTTGCCTTGGTGCCTTCCAAGGACTGTGCCCAATGCCTGGCCTGCTTGCTTGCCCACCGGGCTCGTCAGGCCAGGGCTTCTGTCACTTTGTGACCTGGTTGACCTGCCTAGCTGTAGACCCTCGGGCCCCTTGAAGTGATAGCCACTGCTGGGCGTCTCTGTTGAACCTCCTAGGTCCGTCCAAGACCTGTCAGGAGGCTGTCCATTCCCTGAACCCCGTTCTGTGTCCGGGCTTGTGTGGGTTTCTGTACTTTCCCAAAACTCAGTTACTCCCTGATTTGGGCTAGAGGTGTTGTAGTCGGGACTTGGTTCCTCGACCACCTCCCTGTATGTTCGACCCCCTGTAGAATTTGGGGTAAGGCCAGGCCAACCTTGGGGATTGTGTGCTAGCTCTCTTGCGGGGAATGATTTGTTGTGATGCCCCCGGGTATCCTCCGTGACTGGAGTGCTGTGTGATGTGTGTGGAAAGTGAGTATGCCCCCGGGGTGACTCCCTGGCTGGAGTAGGCATGGATGCCTGGTAGTTAGGTAGGCTCATAGAATTCTTGTTTGGAGCTCTCGCGGAACCCTGGGATGGGCTGTTTGTGGCTCCATCAGTGGAGATGGGCAGCAGCTCGTGCCCTTCCCTTTGCTCCAAAGGGTCCCCTCCCCCCCTGGAAAAGACCCAGGAGTCTCATCTGAAAGATCCCGCCGAGGGCGGAGTTGGTCGATGTGCCGACGCAGGACACGACCGTTGTCCAGGGCTACCTCGTAGGAGAGAGGACCCGTGACCCTGGAAATAGAAGCGGGGACCCATGTATGACCAGGCCCGTAATTGCGAGCCCAAACCGGGGCACCCACAAGTAGTTGTCTAGGTGCCCTAGGATGTGAGGTAGATGAAGGCAGTCTGTCCGGATGCAACCGGTCAAGTCTAGTAGTAAGTTGGCGCCCCCAACGAAGTTCAGCGGGCTTCTATCCCTGTACGAAGTGGACGGTGTGGTGCGATAAGAAAGGAGAAAGGCAGCCAACCGGCTGATGCCAGTCCCCGTAGGTGAGTCTTTTCAAGGCGTCTTTGTGATGCGCACCATGCGTTCAGCCATACCGTTGGGGGACGGGTGGAAGGGTGCAGACGTGGCATGACGAATCATGTTAGCCTGTAAAAAAGCTTGGAATTCGGAGGAAGTGAATTGAGGGCCGTTGTCAGACACGATGACATCTGGAAGCCCGTGTGCAGCAAAAATCCCCCTCAGTACCTGAATAGTCTTTGCAGTGGTGGTGGAAGAGACAGGTACAACATCAAGCCATTTTGAATGGCTGTCAACAAGGACCAAGAAGAACTGGCCCTGAAAGGGCCCAGCGTAGTCAATGTGCACCCTAGACCATGGGGACTGCGTTTCCTCACCATTTATGCACGGGAGCTTGGGGCATCTCTGGGCGAGATCGTTGGCACAGGTGGCATGCATGCACCTGAGCCTCAATATCCTTATCTAAAACAGGCCACCACAAGTGGCTGCGTGCAAGAGCCTTCATACGAACAATGCCAGGATGACCCTCATGGAGGGATTCTAAGACCCTAGTCCTCATTGAGGAGGGAATGACAACTCTGTTTCCCCAAAGCAGACAACCCTGAGAAAGGGACAACTCGTTTCTTTTGGACCAGAAACTCTGAAACTCAGGACTAGGGCAGTGCTCAGGCCAACCGGACAAAACCCAGGAACGGACACGTGAAAGTGTGTGATCTGTACCTGTTTCAGCGGCAACATCCCTGGCACAAAGAGGGAGCTCGGGCAAGGCTTGGATTGATAGAATGTTGACAGCTGGCGCAGGGTCAGCTTCTACTACTGGCAGAGGCAATCTACTGAGGCCATCAGCATGGCCCATTTCTTTCCCAGGCTTGTGGAGTAAAGAAAAATCATATGCAGACAGAAAAATAGACCACCTAAGCATTTCTAGGGGAAATGATTTGGGGAGTCTGCTTACGTGTGGTAAACAGTCCCAGCAGAGGCTTATGGTCAGTGAAGACCGTGAAATGCCTGCCATAGAGAAAATCGTGGAATTTTTTAATTCCAGCGACAACAGCCAGAGCCTCCCTGTCTATCTGAGCGTAGTTGCGCTCAGCAGAAGACAATGTTCTGGAGTAATATGCAACAGGAACCTGAGTTCCATCAGACCTGAGGTGGCTCAGGACAGCTCCTACCCCGTAAGGGGACGCATCACATGCGATGCACACAGGAAGAGATTCGTTGAAATGTGCAAGTACACTGTTAGAAGTGAGCAAGGCCTTGACTTTGTTAAAGCAAGCCTCATGTGTATGTGACCACTGCCACACTGCTTGTTTGTCTAGTAGCCTGTGAAGAGGCTCAGCTACACTAGCTTTATGTGGAAGAAAAGAATTGTAGAAATTCAGGAGGCCCAGGAAGGCCTGAAGTTCGGCCTTGGACTTTGGCCTAGGTGCTTCTAAAATAGCTGTTAGTTTGGATTCAGCAGGGTGAATCCCAGCAGCATCAATTTTGAACCCCAGAAATTCAGTAGAAGGCACCCCAATCTTGCATTTGTCTTTTTTGAGCTTGAGGCCTGACTTCCTGAATCTTAACAGAACAGCCCTTAGCCTTTCAGCTAGAATGTGTGTGGAGTCTCCTGCAATTAAGACATCATCAAAGTAGGGGCAAACCCCCGGTATACCCCGTAGTGTGTTTTCCATTACGCTTTGGAAAATCCCAGGAGCGACATTCACTCCAAACTGCAGCCTTTTTACCTTAAAGGCTCCCCTGTGGGTCACAATAGTCTGAGCTATAGCAGCATCATCATCAACAGGCAGCTGTTGATACGCTTGAGCTAGGTCAAGCTTTGCAAAAACGCGCCCCCCCTTGAGGGAGGCCAGAATATGACTGACCACAGGAACAGGATAGGCATGTTGCTGCAATGCCTTATTCAGAGTGCATTTGTAGTCAGCACAAATGCGAATGTCCCCATTTGCCTTTAGAGGCGTGACAATGGGGGTCTCCCAAGGACTGGAATCAACAGGTTCTAGGATTCCCTGTTGAATCAGTTTGTCTAACTCAGTGTCAATTTTACTCTTTAAAGCAAAAGGGACCCTTCTTGCTTTAATTCTAATGGGAGTGACAGTGGGGTCTAGCTTTAAGGACACAGGGGGTCCTTTGAATGTGCCCAGCTGGGGGCTGAAAACATCTGCAAATTCTTTGCAGACTTCCTGTAGGTCGAGTGTTTGTAAACTGTTGAGTCCTGTGACGTGTATCCCCAGGGCCTCAAACCAATCGAGTCCTATGAGACTCGTTCGTTCACCCCCTACTACTAATAAGTCTAGTGGACCTTCAAAACTCTTGTATTGCACGTTAAGGGTGGCCTCCCCCTTAACACACACTCTTGAATTTTGAAAATCTGTTAACACAATGTCAGAAGGCCTTAACTTGGCCTGAGTTCCACTACCGGAACAAATCTTCCTAAATGTATGCAATGAGATAATTGAAAAGGCAGACCCTATGTCTAGTTCCATAGATAATGGAACCCCTTGTAGCTTCACCTTGAGTGACAGCTTTTTCTTAATGGGCTTGTGTGTGCCTGTCCTAAGGATGCTTCTTTGCGAAGTGCAAAACCCTACCCTATTCTGGCTGGGGAATCTGGTACCTTTCAGGCGCAGTTCTTCCTGAGGTTGTACCTTTCGTCGGCCCAGACACACAGCTGCAATGTGTCCTTGTTTGCCGCATGCCCGGCAGGTAGCGGAGCAGAACTTGCAGTCGGTTCTCCTGTGGCGACCTCCACAGCCGATGCACTTGAGCGGAGCTGAAGAGCTTCCCTTTCTTCCGTCGTGGGATGGAGACGGTCGACTTCCTCGTCCGGATACTCCTCGGAGTTTCTTTGGGCGTCTTCCTGGTGCACGGATGCAACCTCTGGACTGTTTCTGATCGGCCGCATGTTCTTGACAGCGCCGCCTGCTGCTTCTTCTGCGGTGACTTCCCTTAAGGCATCTTGGTAGGACAGTTCTTCTTTAGCGAAAAGTCTCTGTTGTAGATCTCGATGCCTTAACCCGCACACGAATCGGTCCCTCAGTCGTTCTTCGAGGTCTTTGAGGTCTTTGAACTCGCAGTGCTTGGCGGCCTTCCGTAATGCGGCGATGAATTCTTTGGCCGACTCACCGGGCCGTTGATCCCTCTGCTCGAAGGTGTGGCGCCATGCGATGACGGACATCTTGGGGTGGAAGTGCTCCTTCAGTAGCTTCTTCAGATCTGCGTAGCTGACAGACTCTACTGGAACAGGTGCTGCAAGGTTTTCTGCGATGTCGAAGGCGTCTTGACCGCAAACACAAAGCAGGGTGGCAGCCTTCAAGCTCTCTTCCCTCACTTGGTTTGCCTTGAAGTAGTTCTCCACCCTGGCTACGTATGACTCCCACCGCTCTGGATGTGAGACGTCGAATTCCGAAAGCCTTCCGATTTTCGCCATCTTCAGATCTTCAGGAGACGGGTCTATCAGCCAGCCTACCCCCGAATGCGCACCGGATTGGCGGGCAGCTGCCGAGTCGACGCCGTTCCTTTCCGCCGCTCAGGACTCCTTGGGTAAGCTTACACTTCTTCCTTTCCAGGTAGTGCAAGGCATCCCACCTTCGTCGCCAGTGTTGAGTCCTTGGCGGGAAGCAGACACGAGAAGCAGTTGAAGTTCTCAGTTTCCTTTATTCAGCGTTCAGCTTACAAGTAGATGACTTCTGCAGCTCCCAAAACCTCCCAGCTTCTTATATAGACGCTTCCCGGGTAAATGCGATACTTTTCCCGCGCCAGCACCCGCGCATGCGCACGGCGCTGGCGACAGCCTGTCTGGTCCCGGGCAGCTTTGCACCTGCCCGGGACTGCCTGCAAACGCCCGAGCCGTTTGCAAGGCTCGGGACATAACAATTATTATTATTATACTTTATTCTTCTTTATTCTATGTTATTCTATTTCTTTCCCACTTTACTTTGGTCTGGGGTAAATTTATGGAGGGTATAAATTTATATATGATAGAAAGCATTTTAAAATGCATGTTAGGGGAACATCTTTCATTGGGCAATCTAAGATCACAAAAATGAGTTTTTCATATTTTTCAGAACTGTTCATTTGGCAAGGTGATAAATTTGAAGAATTACTAGGAAAAAATGAAGAAAAAGTTCCTGCTTTAGCTAGTTGTCACCTTGAATTAATAAGTTTGGTGGGAAATTAATAATAATAATAATAGTAAAAACATGACATATACATGAGGCACATTAGTGATAGGCAAGTAATATTTTACTACCATGTTTTAAGTGATTCATTTCTCATGTTGTTATATCACTTTTATTGCATTCTATTAGTTATTAATGCAAATAGCCAGTCTGATTTGGTGAATAAGGCATCAGACTTTGGCACAGAAACAAACTGGAGGATTTGGGGCTGGTCACCCTCTGTCTACTTTAGGAAGAAGGCATGTGACAGTGGAAAGGCTGTTCCTGGGGGGGGGATGGGTGAAAAACACCCAGAGTCTCTACTTCCAGCAAGGTCACCTGAGGCAGGAAGATCATCTCAGCACTCAGGGAAAGCAAGGAGGAACTTACAGATATTTGTTACACAAGTGTGCTCTCACATTCAGTTTATGATCACTCATTCACACTCTCACAACCCTGGAAAATTACCACACTCAAATCAATTTCAACTGAACATTGAGGCATGAATGACTCTTTAAAACACACAGAGACCCAGTGAATTTAAAATAACAGCAGACTTTTACTGATTATGAAGTAGATCTATTTGGTCTTACACACACAAACACACACACTTATCCACACTTACCCCAAATCCACAACTAGGTTGGCTGGCACTCGCCAGAGGGACAGACGCCACCAAGTCCTGATCAAAAAATGACTCAAAAGGCTGGGCAGGCCTCAGGACCCCTTTTAATCCCCCAGAGTGTTGATGGGAGGAGCTTCCCATGCAGGCCCAACTTTTTCGTTGCCAGGTGTGGGGAGGGGCTTGCCATGGGCTCAGGCCAAACTTTTGTTCTTTCCTTTCCTTCACGCCTTGGTTCCTTTTCCTGGCTTTTCTCCACCCTGCTTACATGCCTTCACCACTGTTAGTTCTGGTAGCTTTGGCCTAGGCTAAAATATTCCTCACTTAACAAACAGTAGCTTTGCATTCAGAGATTTGATACTCCTCCCAATGTACTTATGACTTAGTTCCAGAGTTCTGATGCCATTTGCTCCCCACACTATTACATGACTCTCTTTACAGACAATTACAATGTTTTTTCCTAGTAACCAGAGTTTTGGGCTGGTTTCTGGCAAAAAAATGGCCATAAGAATGTACAGGTAATCCTCGAGTTACAAGTGTAATGGAGCCTGCCCATTTCACCTTTAACTAGAAAACTTGTAGAATTAATCTCATACCTTGAACGAGTTCACCCCTTTGCTCGTTAAAACACACATGGCTTGTTAAGTAAACATCTCAGGGCAGGGAAGACTATGGAGGGCGGCCTAATGACGGAACAGGCCCCCAAGGCCTCCCCAACCCACTAAGATAACTCATGCTTCCCCTCTTCTTCCTGCTGCGCCTGACTCATCTGGAAAAGATCCGTCTCTTCTCTGCTGTGGTTCCTGCTGCCACCCAGATCTGAGGCTAGGGGACACTTCCGCAGCTTCCCCGGGGCCTGATCCAGTCTCTGGAAGCATTTTGCAGGCTGCTGCCCCCTGGAAATGGGCCACCAAAGGCCTCTGGAGACTGGATCGGGACATGGGGGGTGCGGAAGTGTTCCCGGCTTCAGATCTCAGTAGCAACAGCCTGGAAATGGCCTTCGGAGCCCAGATCAGGCCAGGGGGGACACAGAAGTATTCCTGGCCTCAGATCCAGTTGGCAGCAGCCTGGAATAGGCCTCCAGAGCCTGGATTGGGCCACGGGGAGGGGGCACGGAAGTGTTCCCTGGCCTCAGATCCGGGCAGCACCAGTTTGGGAAAGTTTTCAAAGTGCTGGCTAGGTCCATGTCATCAGAGATGCAATATTTCAACTGAGTAGTTAAAGCAAGAGTCATTCTTACCAAAATCTCAACTGCACCCTGCTTACATGTGCAAAAATGAATTAAAGTGGCAAGAACAAAACATTTTGCACAACATCCACTCAAAACACCAAGGTAGTGTTTTTCAACATTCATCTCTGATCAGATGCTGAAAATACGATTCATAAGTAATTAGCTTAGCTACCCTACCAGTATCAATTTTAGTATACAATTCCCCATGTCTAATTATAGTCTCCTGGTTTTCCTACATTCCTCTTTTCCAATAGTATCTTTTTTTGTATCTAGAGATTTTGATTTCATTGATGGATAAGAAAATTTATCACTGAAACTTCATTGCATAGTTATGCAGCTTTTCTTTGTGTTACAGGACTGATAGAAGGTTTGTAAAAAGCTGGCATTATACAGAGCCATTTAAAAACCAAGGAGAATTTTGAACTGGTTTTAAGTACTTGAAAATCATATTTTTCTTTTTCATGTTGTAAGGCAATTTAGTGTTTTTTTTCTTTCAGGATTTTACAGTTTGGAGAATTTTACTCTGACCGGAAGAGTAAGGAAGATCCTTGAATGCCCTAAGTGATTTCAGAAAAAAAATGTCAAGACCAGTTTTTGTCTTACCAACCCTTAAAGACACAGATTCCTCTCCTCCTACTCCTCTTGGGTGCCTCATTCTCCTCCCCACACACACTCACTCCAGTAACTTGCAATGATTGGTGCCTTGCAAATCCCTGGCCTTTTAAGGGCGGCCAACCGGTCAATCTAAAGTGATAAGCAGGTGAAGACTCTCGCAACAGATACTGTCACAAACCAATAGTCTCTTCGTTCATCTGTTCTGGAAATACCCGAGAGCCAATGAAGTAAGGCAAGGGGAAGGACGAGGGACCAGCAGAACTTAGGAGAAGTGGAGATGCCCTAGAGATTCTCTCTGCCTGCCAAGCTGCTGCAGGGCCGTAACCCTCCGCTTTTTTGTGCGCACTGGAGGCTGCAGCCGTGCTGTTTCTGGTGCCAAGTCTCTCTGTAGTGGTGTTGTCAAAATGGTGATCAAAGTGTTTGTGGCAACGTCCTCGGGGTCGACAGCAGTAAGTATATACATGTAATTTATGCGTGTCTGCAGAAGTCTTCGGAAGCTGCTTGTTTGCTTGTTGTTTAAGAAAGGGGCGTGATGCTGCTCCATGCTCTAACCCATGACAAAGATGTGCCCCCAAATCTCTCTCTCTCTCTCTCTCTCTCTCTCTCTCTCTCTCTCTCTCTCTCTCTCTCTCTCTCTGCTTTGAAATTCTCCAAGGGTGCAGCCTTGTTAGTCCTGTTGTTGCAACCAAAGTTAATGTCCAGAGCCTCAGAGAAATATTTTCTTTCTTAGCTTGCCGATTCCTGTATTACAAATTAGTCTATTCACCATGTAGTGAAAATACAAAATATTTATTTCATACAGATGGAAAATGCACAGCATGTTAATGTTTTATTTTTAGCAACCTTGGTAAGAACTGGTTAAAGTATGCTAATTATATGTTGGAAGATAATAACAGTCTCTGATTGATTACATTAGGGGAGAAAGCACTTTCTTTTAATAGAAAGATGCAGTGGATATATTAAGGGATTCCTTTCTCCAGCTATACACATATTATCTCCAATTTCTTTTAAGGTTATTTTAAGCTTTCCTATATTACTATCCTGTATCTTGGTGGTGGTATCTGTTCTTAGAACCATTATGTTTGCTGAAGTAAAGAAAGAGTAGGCGAAGGGGAGGTGGAACAGGGCATGAACAGTTTCCTTTTATATCCAGTTCCGACGTGAGCTCAAGTTACTGTCTTGGCTGAGCAATCAGTCACAGTGACATGTCTAAACAAACTGGTTGCAGTTGCACATAACTGATTTCATTGCTTGCTGGCTTTCATGAAGACCACCTCAAGAAGCTTCCAGAGAAAAACTGTTGGCAAGACTAGATTAAAGAAATTTAGCTGGTGTTTTTTTCCAGCCTGAGCTCCACCAAATAAATAACAGCAGTAGTCTGTGAGAAAGTTGTCTATGTTTCCTGGTGTGTTAGAAATTCAGAATTTTAACAGGGCAATTAATATGGAACAATGGGAGTTTCAATGGAAAGTAAAATATTACATATAATGAACATGATAGAAGTTAAAAAGACTTTGCTCTGTCCCCCTCCCCTCCTTTTAAGAGCCTTTTGATCTGAAGCCAGAGAAACCCATCTCCACTAATAAAATATAATGTTTCCTTAAAGGCAATAGAATGCTGACAGACAGCCCTGTTATCAATCAACATTTAAAAAGCACGGGAGTTTTAACACTTGTGCCAATCCTCTTATACCTCTGCCTAGCCAGGAAGATCTCTGAGATAAAGAAGATAATAGAATATTTCCTCTAACCATAAAAACTCTATTTCCTGCTTTCTCATGGTCATAAAAACATTTCACTCACACAGAAGGCTAATAATTGTACATAAACCTTGCTGATGTGTCAGTGTGTGGTCAGCTGTCCCAGGAACAAGCTTGGTGCTGTTTCTGACCCAAATAAAATAAGCCTCTTCCCAAGCAGCTGCCTTTGCATTTTTTTTCCTTGGAGAAAGGATCTCGGGCAGATTCTTGCAACAATTGGCACCTCCAAGATGGGACTCTGAAACTGACTTGATGGACAGACCTGAGCCGGATAAGCTTTTCACCACTCCCAGCAACAACAGACCCTTTTGTCTGTAGGTAAGCTTCCCCGGACCCTGCCTGTTCAGGAGGAGGTAGTAAAGGGAGTCTTGAGTTGAACAGCTGCTTGGAAAGAAAGTGAGTACCACCAAATTTTTGTGCTTAGCGGTGAGTGTGGATGTGTAAGTACATGAAGGGGGAATCTCCTTTTCCTCCTCTGCAGTAGGATCTTGTCTTTTTTGTGCTATTCCTAACCACACCTGGCATCTTACTAGCCCAAAAAGCTGTGACCAAGGGAATCTGGAAAGCAAGAGGTCTTGGCAAAAATACAAGCCCTACTGCAGGAGAAAAGGACTGTGTGTGTGTGTGTGTGTGTGTGTGTGTGTGTGTGTGCTAGAGAGAGGGAGGGAGGGAGGGAGAGAGAGAGAGAGAGAGAGAGAGAGAGAGAGAGAGAGAGAGAGAGAGAGAGAGAGAGAGAGAGAGAGAGAGAGAGTGAGAGTGTTTGCATCTGGGCAACTACATCCTGATCCCTGGGTAGAGTCCAGCTGTATTAGAAGAAAGATCCCTTACTCTAGCCAAGCCAGAGTCTTTCCAGACCTAAGGTGTGGAAGCAGTGAGTGGGTTCAATACATAAAAATAAAGGGATGCTTACCTTCCGCTGGTCCCTCGGGTGCACATGTGCACTCCAAACTGACAGGTGACCACGATTGGATAGAATGGGGAACACCTTGTTAGGAGTTCTGCCAGGATCCCTATAGGGGAGGTTGCTACAAACATGGGATGACAAAAATTGCCTGAGCAAAGTGTGTGCACAACAATTATGTAGGGCAGTGCTTCTCAACCTTGGCAGCTTTTAAGGCATGTGGACTTCAGCTCCCAGAATTCCCCAGCCAGCCATGCTGGCTGGGGAATTCTGGGAGTTCAAGTCCACACGTCTTAAAAGCTGCCAAGGTTGAGAAGCACTGGTGTAGGGAATGGAGATGCAGCAGGCAGTCAGATTTGGCAAAATAAAGGTACTTTCACAATAAAAAAAGAGGAAAACTCTGATCTTTCCCCATATCTGTGTATTTTCCAATCATTGAGCAATGGATATGTTTATTTAGTTTTTTTGCCTTTGAAAATGAATGTCAGACCCGCCCTCAGGAAAGTAAGACTCTTGAATCCACTGAGTTGAATCAAAAGAACTTTTACTGAGAGAAACTGGATGCAGTAAAGTCTAATCGTGGAATCTGAAGGTCCCGAGTAAGGCTTAAAGCAGTTCTTTCGGTTTCCCTATCTCAACCCCCCTGACCAATCCACTGGCAGCCAATTTGACTCCGAGAAGATATTTTGAGAACACTGTGGTGCTAGGCAGGTAACAGTTCACACTCAGGGTGTGAAGGCCTTGGAACTTGGCAAAAACCAGCTGGGAAGGAGTCCGTCCAGTCTCCAAAAACAGTCCCTCTCCCTAATTCCCAAGTGAACAGCAGAAGCGGAAAAATCCCAAGTATGCCATTCCCCCCCTCCACCCGTAGCACAATAACAGGGCACCAGAGTGTGGTGGACCTGACAATAAGAAAGTTAATGAAAAAAATGAGTTACGTATGCAGTTGATTGCAAAATTGCTAAGCCTTCTTTAAAAGATCTAAGATCTAAGATGAAATTGACTATGGTGTATAAAACTAAGAGCTCTGGTTTTTTTTTTTTTGTTTCTGCATATGTATGTTTATTAAAGTCTTTGTGTGTCCTTGAGTGAAAGAATAATGAAAACAGTGCAGAGAAATTGATGACGCTTTTTATACCTCTGTCAAATATGTTTAATCACCAGAGACAATTTTTTTTAAAAGAATTCTGTTAGGAAAATGTTAAAATAAGTCAAATATATATCTTCACCCTTGTTTGCTTGGCCAGTAAAACAGGGTGAAGGGAGCCATGTTCCCTTTTCTCTCCCTGTGCTTTTAAGAACAGCCCAAGTCTGTCACGAGGGAATGTTCTAAATTCATTTAAAATCAAAGTTTTATTTTGGATTGTATGTATGTTTTAGCTAAGTGTATTGTGGGTGGATTTTGTCTGTAAACCATGAAGTATGCCTATCTGCAGATGCCTACTTATTTCTGTCCCCAAGTCTGTTGTGTGTGCATGTCTTCCCCTGTTAGCTCATTTCAGTATATAAGCCAGAAAATAACCTCTTTTTTCCCAATAATAGCTTTAAGCCTTGGACTTTCCAAATTCTGGCTGCAAACTATTCACCCCACTCCATTCCACTTCTCTGTCTCTTCTCCTAAGTCTCTGTTCCTCATCTCCTACCCAAATTCTCAACAAGCTAAATGACAATAGAATCTGAATGATTCCCACTGTAGCTGAAGGAACAACTTTGTGCAATTAAACTTGCATTTGAATTGGAAAAAAGAAAGTAACCTATTATAAAAGAGTGGAAAAAGTTGATGTTTGCAATGAAAAGGCTAAACTCTCAGTAACAAAGGACTGTCTTTCAAATATATTCCTTTTTTCTGAATGCTCTAGGAGGGGAGAAGTTTGGGCATTTTCATTTACTTTATAAGCCATCTTCCCTGAAAGGTGTTGAGTCTAATAAATTTGATCTCAAAGGGTCTCTTTTGTGTTCTAAGTCTGAGATTGAGAGTAGAGGGCTGAGGCATTCCTTTCAGTGTACATTCCCCTGTGCTTGCTCATTTTTACCCGCAAATTATCCCAGAACTGAGGTGAGGATTCAAAAGATTAAGAAAGTGGGGAAAGGACTACCAATATGCTCCACCTTCTTCTTTCCCCACCTCCTTGTACAGCATGTTGAGTTCTGGAATGTGGGGCTGATTGGGATCATATCCTCATGATATTCTGTGTGTTTCTTAATTTTTTTGCTAAGGTATGCTTGATTTTTAAAAGTATATGCTTTGTTTGTGGATAAGATGATTGATGGTTATGTAAATGGAATATTGATAGCAAATGGAAAGGTTATGTAGTGTGTAATGTGTGTGTGTATCAGGATCTGAATGATTTCTCTCTGGTTCTAGCCAAAGGACCAAAGATATAAAGCTTGACATACTTCTGCTTAATATAATTTAAGATCTAATAAAGCATGTGCATTTAAAAGTGCTTGCTACTACAAAAAGGGGTGACATGTTATTATTAAATGTAGATACTAAATCTGTTGTCCTTTTCCTTGGAGCAAAGGAAAAAAGGCAAAAAAAAAAAAAAGTAAAACAAGAAAAGAAACAGAGCTACCGGTAGTTTGGTCTAAGTCAGTGGTTCTCAACCTTTTTAATGCCGCGACCCCCAACTGGTCGTAAGTCGAGGACTACTCAACCGGTTGTAAGTCAAGGACTACTCAACTGGTGCGGCACCGTTTGCAGAATGGGACTTTTGGCGGGCTCAGCAGGGCAGAGACAGCCTGGACAATTCCTATTGGCTTTCGAAAGCCAATAGAATTAGACTCTA